AAAATGGAGAGAGAATCATCAAGTTAATAAACGCTCCTTCAATACTCAAATTTCGAGTTCTGGTTTGCTCTGTGTTAGCCTCAAAACAAAGTAACATATTCTTTTGTTTTATTGATAGACTGTGAAAACGCATGGAATTTGAAAAGTGAGACAATAGAATTGATATGAAATCTCACATTTTTATTATCACAATTAGGAATATTTTGCGCACAAATGAAGCTAACACAGAGCATTGGAGAATACGAAACTGGATTATTGTGAGATATCAATCGAACAAGCTAACTCTCGAAAATAAAATCATTATTTCTTCCAAACTATATGGACTGTCACAATAAATGAAGAATTAATTGGCTATTGAACAATGATATAGAAATAATGGAAGGTTATAGTGCTAAGGAGGTTATTCCGGGAGAAAGACCCTTGGAAATAAATTCGGAAAGATTAATTTCCGACCTCGCTGAGATTCGAACCCACAATCCTCGGATTTGTACCACAGATGCTCTATTGAACTATGGTCTGTTCAAGGTATGGAAAAACCGATAAAAAAGGAAGATCGAAATTATGAAACGTTTTTTTTGTATATATTTTTCATATTCAAACTTGCCGTATAGTTTTGTGCACCCTACACTCATGCACTCGATCTGGATTGGAGCAGTTTTGTTGCTTTCTAAATAAATGGGTAAGCCTGGGTATGGATATGAGTATGGAGCACTAAGGGCGGTACGTAAGTACTGCATTACTAGCAAAAGTTACCTCCCGCTTCTTTGCACGTTTTGCAGGTGTATTTATCTCTAAMATAGTCAGGAAGGCAGACGAGTCCTGGATTCTGTTTACGGCATGGCATGAATAAACACTCCGTCTAAAATCAAAACCAGGAAAACTTTATGCTCACAGCGTCTTTTAAATATGAAAGGAAGATCGAAGAGATCAAATTCCGAGTCGTCATTGTTCGTGTTTGATCCCTAACGCATTCTTTTTTATTCAAGTYAACTCGCCTACCTTTCTAGTAAAATGTTGGTGGTCTGCACTGTCTTTGAAATCATCTGTCGAGTTTAACGTTGCGTTAAATTGGTCTGTATCAAGCATTTCACACAAATGAAGCCCATCCGAATTAACAATTTTAGCAAAGTTGAAAGAGATGCATTTCTGATCTGCTGCACAATCAACCAGGCACTTTTTGTATGTTTTGGCTTGAAGCTTTTTGAAAGGTTTGACGTCCAGATATTTGTCAAGGATTTTGAAAAAGTTGGCAAATTGGAAATCGCTTTGTAATGGTTTCTCAGTTGAGCTGTATTTGATAACCTTGGGGTTGTCGCATTTSGTTCCCTTCAGAAAACATGAAATCAAAAATATCCCTAGGGATATCATGATTTTCTTGGTTTTCATGACTGAAATGGCTGATAACCGAGCTTGGTGAGGTCTTTTATATATAGTGCAGTTACGTGTAACCACAATGAGAAAGTCTTTTAGTTGTTTAATTTTTACGTGCAGTCATTTAASAATGCAAGCGTGGGTTCATCATCTTGGAATCAAACTGCGCTCATCAATTTTTGATGGTAGACCAAGAAAAATGTGAAATAATTTCATACAAATACTTATTCACCGAAAATCAAATTGTGCTGCTAAACTTCACACTTATAAATAAATTACAATTTCAAAACTCCTTAGTCTTCAATTGCAGCTTAAGAAAATTCAAATTTACTTTATTTTTTTTTCTGGTAGCTCTTTGATGATGCTGTTAATCAATTATCATCAAAGAATGTATTATTCAATGTACAATTCAAATTAATTATATTCACACTGTGTAATATAAAGAAGAGGAGAAAAATTGTAAGATAAATTTATCGTGAGGGGAGCGTTAAGCAGACAAAGGGATGGGGTTTATTTGTAAAATTCGTTTCAGCCTGTCAGAACATTATTTTTTTCTAATTTGAAATATTTTCATGCTCAATTTTTTTATCAGGGCTAATTGYGCGGACTTTCATTGTCGGCTTTGAAATATTACGTTATCAATTATGCTGTTAATAGGACATCAAAAGAGGTTGCGTAATAGAAATGCAGGGGAGAAAAAACTAAAGAAAATTCTACTCAACAGGGGCGCCTTCAGCGCTGAGGTTAGAATTGCTTGGTGTACTGTTAATATATTCGCGAGCGGGCTGTAAAAATTCCACATTGTTGATCATAAGATGGAATCCTGTATTTTTTTTGATCTTTCATTTTCATTTGTAATATATACAATATGAGCGGGCGATCTGTATGTAATATACAACTCTCTTCATGGGCTATGATTTCTATTGTGTTTTGCCTTATGAATATTAATGAGTTTTATAAAGGTTATTTATAGCCTTGTTATAGCGACTTTGCAATAATCATGGGGGTACTGGATGGGTAACGAGTGAATTAAAGAATGACATGCCAACCACTGAAAATTAAACTAGTTTAACCGAATACTTACCACAGAGCCTTGGGACTTACAACTGTTGTAACTCCTTTTCTCCCGTTCTTCAGTGAAGGTTTGTTTTCCTGGGAAAGGGATTTTGAGCTACATTGTTGACAATCTTACAAGCAAATAAGGCGAGACAAACTAGCAGCAGAGTTAGGATTCGAGTTAGGATTCGAGTTTTGGGATTCGAGTTTTGGGATTCGAGTTTTGGGATTCGAGTTTTGGGATTCGAGTTTTGGGATTCGAGTTTTGGGATTCGAGTTTTGGGATTCGACTTAATAAGTAATAATTCAGTAAGTAATAATAATTTAACAAGTATTTAATTTTTTTATTCATTAAAAGCACACAAAGTTTAATAATTTTGAAATCAAAATAACTATCATAAAAATCATAATTTAACTATCATAAAAACTATCAAAATGTAAGACTGCCGGAACCAGCAATGCTTGTTTCTAATTAAAACATCAACAGATATCATCTGGTCTCTCATAGAAGAGCATAAATACGTACCAGACGTGCATTTCTTTCGGAAAGAAGAACACTTTCAATAATAACGTATATTATAAAAAAGTATAAAAAGAAAAAATATATATTTAAAAGAAATGACATGTTACATTGTAATTGTATAAATCAGACTAATTACTGTAATAGGCCCTTTGCAGCTGGGGGGTCACGTGACCACACCTAACTTAAATCAATCAGCTATCAAAAAATATTGTCCAGAGTTTGCATAGTGATTGGTGTCTTTGATCAAAATTGCGTATGATATCTAGATAGTTAGATTCATATCCATGTTTGAATAGTTTGTAAAATTCTAATTTTTTGGATTGGTTTCATTGAGATTTCCACGTTTCGAAATAAAATGTTTCCATTTTGTCGTGGCAATCTATTACATCATGGTACATTTGGACAAATGAGCATACAGCTATTTCAAAAAATGTTGTCAGGGAAAACGGTGAACAACGATTTGTCGAAGGGAGATTGAACGACCAAAACGGACTATGGTTACACTGTTTTGATAAAGAAAATTTCACCTATTGGGTTCACATTACATTGAAATGGAGACTAAATGGACAATGCTTTCCACAGACAATCTGAAAGTACAAATCACCTGTTATTGTCTTTCAACTAGCAAAACCCAAGGCTACTTTCGGTCGTGCAATCGCCGTTCGACCATTGACATTCGCCATTTTGTCTGACAACCTTTTTTGAAATAGCTATCTATATGCCTGAGAATTGGCCATTCCGAAATTCAAAAGGAGACTGGGAACGAGTGTGAAAATATTACATTCATCGAAAACTAACTGAACCTCACCACATGAAAGACCACACTAAATAAGTGTTCTTGTCAAGTTTGAGCATATTTGGTTGAATACTCACCGAATATATAGAATTTTTGTCAAATTTGTAAAAATAAGAGAATGTATGTTTTTTGGGGTCGCTGCTCGAAACCTCAATACGTTCTTTGTAATTTATTTTTTCGAGTTTTAAACGCCTGAAAACTCAAATTATTCATCTGAATACTCTCAAGAGATCCCGGAGACTGCATTCCACAAATCCTAAAACTCGAATCCTAAAACTCGAATCCTAAAACTCGAATCCTAACTCGAATCCTAACTCGAATCCTGACTCGGAAAATAGGTATCCTCAAATAAGGCGCCCTTTCTTCTCTAAAATAATTTGTTCCTGCAAACGTTTTTATGGTCAAAACGGCTTATATATATTTTCAAAATTCCTAGAAAGTATTCTTTTCCTGGAGAGTTCTTTTTTCTTGAATTTCTCGCTGGTARCCAGTTGTGACTTRCAGTTGGCTGGAACATAAGAACAGATACATTTCTCCCAGGAACCCGTCGGCTCCTCCTAACGTCTTAGCCACAACCTAAACAAAAGTCATGACTGTAGCAAGAAAGCATGAAAAACAATATAYGTTGTGGACATTTTTTACTTTATTTGAACAAGATACCTTAGTACCCCATCCTTAAACAATGTTGCCCTTTGATGAGATGCATACATTCTATATATGACCATGCTTTCTCGCAACATTGATCGAAGAGGAGGGTAGAGGGATGTCGTAGACATTCTTTTACAGTGATTTTACAAAGAGTTTGGGGGTTTCATATATTGTCTTCAGTTGTAGCTTGTGCTATAGCTGATGACAGGAGAAGAAAGYAGAGTTCTGACCACAAAATCGGGAACTTCGGCCGTACCCTATTTTTGGACGATATCACTSTCCTTGCTAGGCTATAACATACGAAACTCGGGTGATTTAGAAAGGTGGGAACAATACWCGCCCTGGTCTAATACACCTTTTCAGTTGCACTTAGGCCTCGATAGCAAGTTAATYATTCTTTTGAATTTGRCAAATGAGACTATTCATATCAATGTTTGCATTGCTCGCATTCCTACAAATTCAAAAGAATATTTAACACGCTGTCGAGGCCTAAGAGCAACTGAAAAGGTGTATTCTCAAATTTTTAGCATTGCAATCTCAATCATTGCCTCACTCGGGACTTTAAATGGAGCAATCAAAATTTCAAACAAAAACGAACACAGGATATTTTATACAAAACAAATATTTATTGATTGGCATTTCATTTGTTATGTTATAGTATACAGTTAAATAATTTGAGATTCTCTCAAGGTGCATTATGGGTGWAAAATGAAATACATGTAGTGATCTGGTGTTAAGTACTATATAAATGTACTGCCTAATAGTCACTTTCACATTTCTTGCATCATCTTGAAAGATAACTGAGCCATTGCATTGAATCTAGACAACCGACAAGAGATATATACAAAATCATTGTAAGGTTAAAACTTTGATGCAATGYTTCAGCTAATATCTTTGAAGTTGACACTTGAAATGTAAAATGGAGTATTGCACAAYTGTGTACAAGCCTCAGTKGCAGCCAAAATTCTGCTTCCMATGAATGGGAAAAGACATTGGAGTTCAAATTCTCGTTGTTACTCCTTRRTCAGATGTTCCATTCAAGATAGGGTTTGTTGAAACCGAAACCAAAAACTCTACCTGCAAAAGAGGCTAGTACATTCATTGATGAATTGGTTCAGTGCAAAATCATAGCTGTTAGTCATCTACGTACTCAGTCAATAAATTCAAACTTCTTCCCACTGTTTCTATGAACAAATAATAGACTTAGGAATTTGAAGCAGACAGAACCAGAGCGATRGTAAAATAGCTCAAATGTTTGTCCAGTTGTGAGTTCTTATAGAAGAACTGCATGTTGCATTGACATTTTGGAAAAGTTCCCGAGTCATTGGATAAATTTTGGGCAGTTATGCTTAATTCTCCATTTTCAAATTAAAAGCGAAAAACTGCTGCTTTACTTGATCACAGATTCTCCTGCGCAAAATATTAACAAATACAAGAGAGAGAACAAGAAAATGCCGTTATTACAACAGCCTTGAAAATTTGAATTTTCTCCGAGTTGAGAMAAACCCTCTATTCCCATTAGACCTAAGGTTTAATCCTTCTGGGAATACAGGGAACACCATTGAACATGTACAAGAGAATCTGCTGTCAACTAGAACAGCAGTTACTCGCTTTGAATCGAAAATGAAGTATTCTCCTTTTGTGAAATAAATGTTGTAAAGACTTTTGCCCAAATAACTTACCATACATATGAAACAGTGAAAAAAGTGATGATAGATTTATAGATAGATAGATAAATAATTACCACGAGGTAACTATTCATTTATTCCCTGGGTGAGTATAAAATAGTATGCCATTAAAATATGCATTCAGCTATTTTTATGTTCTGTTTAAAGATACCCATATCTCAGTTGACTAAAATAATACACCCTGATTCTACAAAAATATTCATTTTAGACATGAACGAAAAGTAAAATAAAGTTTTGCAGCATCACATGTTTTCAGCTAGGTAATATTGGTACATCTTGCATGTCATCTGAATTCAGTTTTATATGGAAGAGAAAACCAAAGTTAAATTTTTTGACGACATATCCCTCCATACAAAACTGCATTTCAATCAAGTGCAAGTGGACAATTACTRCAGATTGCTGTATGACAATTTTTTAGGAAATGTGAAATGATGGAACCCAGTTGTCCTTGATATCAAATGTGATGGTCCAAAATTGTATATGCCTTTTAACTATGCTTATTCTTATACTAGGCAATTTGTATTAATTTTACTATGTTCAGATTTATACATTTGATTTGGACTCCAAGTCACTCGAACCAGTTCCTTTGCTTATCAAAATCTAAMACTAAGTAAGCACTCAGATAACTTGGAAACAACTAGCTCTGATGTTTGAAATCTGGTTTTTGATTCTTCAGATTCAGCAAAACAATCCTTTTGATCACACAGGTTTCTAACTGCTTCCAAATGTTTTGCGAGTCAATTACAGATCTACTGCCATTTGCAATTGAGCTTCAACACCAAATTAATATGTGCATTGTTGCTATGCTACACATCTCTCTACAGGGCAAAAACAATATTTCTACAATATGCCAACATAAATAATTAATATACATATATTATTATTTTGCCTGATGAAGTTTCTCTTGTCAAAATAAGACAGTAGCATATAACAATATACACAAATATAATTGTGTGGTAAACATTGACAAATGGCAGTAATATTTCTTCACAAACTGTGCTTGCATACAATGACACAGCATTTTTAACAATAGAAATCTTTCTTATMATGTGTTGCAGAGTCCAAATAAATGTTTGAACTTCTAGTCAGAAAATAAAGTATTTATTACTAGCTGTTTTCCCTAGAGATTTAACAAAAATATTATAAGCACAATGTAAAAATTGAAATGGGAAATCTTGGGAAAATGTAAGAATATGTACGTTCAGCCTTTTGCATTACATTTCTCTCACTTCAGTTTGAGCATGAAAACTACCTTTTCTTCAAAACAATAAAGCAAGAATTGAAACTAAGAAAAAAACTATAATGTTCTGTAACTTAACAATTTTTATATTCCTTAGAAAATTACTCAAAAAAGAATACTGCTGGCTGATTATCCTCAGGATCTAAGGTGTTAAAATGTGCTTATTAACATTTATCTTGTGGGCAAAACAACAAGGTGACAAATACTAGTATCTGCTGACAGTGCTAACTATCTTATTCTTGTGMTCCAYGGAAGGCGTCTTCCGTGCACATTTGAAGCATTACATATAATTTATATACCATATTTTACATTTGCAAAAATTAGCATTGATTCACTATTTTTATGTAACTAATATACGGTCTTCTTCACAACACGAGACAACACAGTTTTTTTATCAAGATAAGTCTGCTTTTGTTCTTAAAGGAATACATGCAGATAACCAAAAATTCAAATGTTCCATTTTCAAAAAAGGTTTCAGGATATATTATATTACATGTACATTAAAAAAGTATTATAAGGGCAATATTAATAATACTTGTAAATAAACTTAATAATTTACATGAATAATGAAAATTCTCATGCATGACCATGGACAAAAGATGGTGGACTGGCCACAATTTTATTTGCTTAGAAAAATATCATTTAAAAATGCATCCAAACGCAATATGAATGGCTACTTTTCAAGCAGATAATTTATTGATATAGCTAAGTATACATGATAGACCTTTCTCACACTATTATTTCATAACAGCACTACACTCCTTTCTAATTAGTTCTTGACGTTCCTCTTTCTTTTTACATACAGTGTATTTTGGATCTCCTAACCAAAGTCTATTTTCACAATGTTATTTTAGTGTGACAAAGGAGTGTCATTATTTGAATTTCAAAGATATTTGTTTATTACAACAATTGCAGAAATGTCTTTGTATTTACTGATTCTTTTCATTGATGTGCTGATTTGTTAACATTCATTTACAATCACAACACATTTGTACAAGACATAACAGTGACACACAAGAATACAAAAGCATTATTTACAGGATACAAGAATTTGTTTTTGAAATCAATGGTTTTAAATTATCTCACATAATTAGATAAAGGACATTTTAACATGGGCATTATGTTCAATTAACAGCCTACCTAATACAGAACATACTCACATGATAATTTCATAGAATGTCCACTGTCTGCATTCTTTCATTTTTGTCTTTATAATTGGACATTCTCAATTATACCATTAATTTCAAACTATTTCTTGACTCTATCAGTAATCTTTGAGGCTATAGATTCTTCACTGAATTGCACAGTTTGGACTTTCCTTTTCCTTTAGTAACTTGGTTGGTTTGTATCTCTCTAAGTAGGCTAGTTGCTTTGCGTTAATGGCTCCTCTACGTTTCCTGCAGAGTAAGCATTAATCAAATTTATCATCTCGATCACATAAAACATCAATTTATGAATATAAATACTTTACAATATTGCAATTCCACATTGCCCATTGGGGCCATGTTATTCTCTAACCTTCTCAAAAACATCTGTTTAAAAACACCAAGGGGCAAAAAYAAAAAACCCAATAAACATCACATGCACGTCCCAGCTGTTGGATGTTATATTTCTTTTACAGGTTATAGTAGTTATTTTAATAATAATWATTATTATATTTTATTGATTTAAACAGACATGTGCAGATACAGATTTTATCTTCAAATGTTAGATACTGATATCTCACGAGTGAGCATCGCGAATGAGTGGGATATCAATGAAACACGAAAAGATATAATGACGTATCTCCAATAACACATGTAATGTTCTGTTTATGACATAAACTCAAATTTATATCTGCAAGGCAAGAAATAGGTCACTTTTGTATCCATTGTAATGTGTTATTTTCACATTTTAACACTTTTTTTGCAGAAGAGATTTTCTGGTATTTCAATTGAAGTTTACATAATAAATAATTATCTTGCAGTACCATCTTTTTTATGTTTAATTAACAGTTGTTTTTTATGTTTAATTAACAGTTGTTTTTTATAGGTTTTTTGAAATGTAATGGCTATCGTTGTAAATCATCAAATGGATGAGTGTGGTTCTCCAAGATGTAGTGAAAACACAACAAAATATCAAATAGTTCATGCTTCTTTTTTCAATTTAAATATTGATCAAATGAAACTTTATTCTTATAAATGAAAACTTTTTTTGCAACATCCACATTGTATTACATGTAGATTGAAATGTTTTAGAATTTGGTGTGTGACAAACAAACAAATATTTTTTTAGATTATTGCACAAAAATAAATCTCTGTCAAACACACCAAATTGAAAAAYTGTGGACAAGCTTATAAACAACAATGTTCTTGACAGAATTGAATCAGCTATTGAAGTTTGAACAATAATTGTGACAGCTATTGTCTTTTAAATTGGGTTTTCATTTTTCAATTTAGTCCTTCTAAGTAGTTTGAGAAGATCCCAAAAATAAYTGGTGTAAAACCGGGGATGAAACTTGAGATAGTGAATCCATTTGAAAGCCATTTTGACATAAAAAATAAATTATAATATGGAATGATGGTTCTTTAGTTGGATGGGTCACCAAATGAAATGACTACTTGCCAACATAGTTGGCCTTCATAGCTCAGTTGGTAGGGCACTACACCAGCATCACAGAGGTCATGGGTTCGATTCCTCTTGAAGCCCAAATTGACATTGACCCTTTTATCAATAATTGTGTAGATTATTATATTTCACTGCAACGATCATTATTCCTCAAACGTAAATTATAAGTGTAKAATATATTTTGTATTTTTGTATTTCTGAAGTATCCATTGATTGCCATATTGCACTATGTCATATCTTGACACATTGTCTACATATTTCAAATCCCATATTGATGAGGGATATGCATCAMGTCAAACACTGGTACTGACAATATCATAAATACACCATTTTTAAGCAGATGGCATCAGTTTACAAACAACTATGCAACTACAAGAACACTCTTTCTACTGGAGATAAGCAAAACAAAAGCCACAAATTRCATTGAGAAAGTGGGCAARACACTAAGGGAGTTGTTGTACATGTACACAATTGTATGTAATGAGCACATGCAAATACAGAGAATATTATATAAGCATGGGGAGATACAGATTTTATCTTCAAATGTTCCATTGATACCCTACGAGTGAGCGATGCGAAAAAGGGATAGAATTAAACACAAGAAGTAAAATTACTATCTCAGCCATGTAATGCTCTGTTGATAGTACGAACTCAAATTTATATCTATAAGGCAAGAAAAAGGGAAAATGTATGTTAAGTATTTTTCACTAGATATTCATGTTATTTCATTGAAGTTTATATTAATAATACCTAGTTTCATTACCTTCTAATAAATTCTACAGCATCCTCATATTTCATTCCACTTTCAATAAGTGCTAGAGCCACAAGAACAGGAGCTCTTCCCAGACCAGCCACACAATGAACAGCCACACAAGATCCTGGCTTTTCTTTAAAATTTCCTTTAATGAGCCTCAGCCARTCATCTACAACTTTCTTTGGTGGAGCAGCACCATCATCAAATGGCCAGTCCTACGAAAATTAGTTTTCATATTAAAAAGCCATAATATTGGTGATTATATTCGTGAAATATASGTTAAAGCAGACACATGGAGTTTGAATATTGCCAGGGCATTTTCCTTTAGGTTCTCTGTTAATTTTAATACCAAATCCAGGCAATTACCTCTGGCTTTATGCTACTCTATAAATTCTCTCATTGTCTCATCTTTACAAAAGGCTGCACAATGCTTATAATGTCATGGTGGCCTCAATTTTTTGTTTTACATTTCTTAATTGAAGAGAACTAATAATGATGACTTTTATCTGATATGCAGTTTTATGCATGTGGCCAAAAGGCAAATCCAATAGTCTCCTTTGTAATTCCATGACATATCTTGAAAAGTAGCAGTGCCTATTGCTTTGCAACGAGATGACTGCTGAGCTTGATATAATAGAAACCTTCTTTTACCTACAGACAATATTATTGACAGGTATCTATTAGGCAAGCTCAATGATCATCTTGCTTTGACTCAAAGGCATACCATCATTACCATTCAAGATGGTGCGGGGAACCTTGAAAGAGACTATTGACACAATAGCTCATTAGCTATGTTTTTGAAAGTTTTTTTTGTAGGTTGTGAATAAATTTATCTAGCCAGCCTTCATACAACTGATCCCAGCTGTTAAAAGGGCTACAGTACAAAAGATGGCGATGACTTAATTCAAAATTGATAAGCTATAACATGATTGATTAATGATATATGTATGTACATTTGTCAAAGTGACCCCAGTTTCACTTGTGTAGCTGTATCTTGAGGTGCCTCAAATCTTCATACCCAATAAAACATTCTTATCTAAAMTATACACCTAGATTTCTTATATTAAATTTCTTTTGTACATCTGAACACAGAACTTAGAATGCAATGAGCCAATCAAGTTGCAAATTTATAGAACATGAGCAGGAAATGAATAATTTGATTGGTAACAGTGTAAGTTTGCAGTCTGGGTTTCTATTATTAGATTGTTCAGTTTCATTTGAGGTGAGGGTAAAATTGTAGTAATAGAGCTTTTTCACAGACTGTTCTTTCAAATGTCTTAAATATCACATATTTTCCTGTAATACTCTATTATCAAAGAGGGTGATTAGCAACAACAAAGAAAATCGACAATATGAAAGTTGGTCAGTGACCTTTAGCAATAAMAAATAAATTAAACAACAGCTTATTACAATATAGTGTAATCTTTACATGAACAAAAAAATATATAGGATATTTATTTTCTTTCMTTTTTCTTCTGAATCAATACCAGCAGTTTTTATTCGAAAAATTCAGAACCCTTCAGACTGGATCAAGTCTAAAAGGTCGACTGTTCACCTTGACATTGACGGCCAGTTTAATCTCTATTAAGACAACTTTAACTCGAATATTTAAGTCAGTATTTCGCTATAATGTAAATTTAACTAACTTCTTAAAGGAACTATTGAGTGTTTAGCCTTGTTGTGTTGTACAATGGTCTTTCATCATGAGACAATGCGCGTTCCAAAATCATTAAGTCAAGCAAAGGGCAAATCAAATGAGCAGACCTTCGAATTAGGTTTCGTTTTGTTTTTCGAAACGAAACAACTAAATTACCCCTTTAGACTTTCAAAAGCACAAATAATTTGTTTTACTTCCTGTGAAGTTTCTAACTTAAGAGTTAGAAGATGACAAATCTATTAATTAAAATTCTGCTTTGTTACGCCTTGGCAGATAGATTTTATGGAATCGGCATCTGCAGAAACTTACCAAGCTTGATAAGCAGGTTTTGTCAATTTCATAACAATAAGGGCCGCTCCTCGAACACCAAAAAAATTCCCGAGTTGAATCTAGGTTGGCTGAACAACCAACAATATAGATAATAGTTTTGTTGATTAGTGGAACCAGTCAATTTTCAAAACAAATCCATATTTTTTGCCAGAGTAATATTAAACAATGAAATGGCCAGCAACAAAAACTCGCAAAGATATATAAGCTTAAGATGTAGTCACAAACAGGAAAAAAGAAATGAATATCCAAACAATTGAAAAGCTTTACTAAATAMAAGAGAAAATAACAGTTTAGATTTATAATCAAGCACAAGTTGCGAGCACCTTTTTGTTGTTAGCAAACCAAACCCAAAAACGAAAGAGCTCAAAGAAATGTGGCGTGTTTAAGATAATCAATGACAATCTGTTCCCTCTACAACTAGAATCAAAAGTTATAAAAGGCAAAGGAAACTTTATTTAGCACCATTGATGACTTATTTTGCTTACCATGACTATAATTCCTTCTCTTAGGAGAGATTCCGTGTTGTAGGTTGGCTCGCATACTCGAACCACTGTTTGAGCGGAGTATTTCTTCAGCTCCTAAACAAAGAAACGAAACATCTTGAAACCTTCAAATAAAACATATTCATCCTCAAGATGGTTAAAAGAATTCTTACTGTAATGTATTGAGGCAAATTCGTGTTTGTTGGCCTATCTGTTATCAAGAATTTCATGTTCTTGTGTTCAAGTACCACTGGACCTGGCCCATGGAATGACCTCGCTTGCGATGTTGTAGTTGTTGTAGGCATTTTCATGTCGATATTTCTTAACAATTTTACACTTTCATACGGTTTTAAAATATCACATTTCATGAGTTAAAACTATTCTTTCAGTTCGAGGTAAAAGCTACCCCATTCAATTCGATTTCTAAGTAATAAAGCGCTTCGAAAATAGGTTCACTTGTAGTGTTGGGCCTGGCACCAGTCTCCACTATCGATCAGAAACTCCATAAGACTGTAGTCACGGCGTCCTAAAGCCTACAAAAATCAACAGAAAAAAGATCAAAAATACTTCACAACAAAAAATAGACTACAATACATCTAGAATAGAAAGAAACAATCGATAGATCGACACGACAAAAGAAAAAACAACTGCATCTAACCGGCGATCAGTAACCAAACAATCCGCAGATCGAGGGAGTGTAGCAGGAACAACTGATCATATAAGTTAAATCCAATAACGCCAAAACTCGTTCCTTGCTTGAAAGGTCTATCAGATTGTTTTTAAGATACTTACAAGTCCTCTCCACATTGACGGAATAATATTCTTGTTGAGCCTTCCTGGTGGAAGAAAATTGTGAAAAAGCAAGTCCTGTGAATAGCGAGTCACACGCCGTCACGAGAATTATTTTAGGCAGTTGCACAATTTAGCCGCTTGTGACGCAAGACGTGACTAATCTCGCGCGTGCGCAAAACTCGTCAGACACGTCATTAATTATAATATTGATGATAATAATTTAGCAAAATATCACGTCTTCTATGAATTTTTTCAAGATACTCGATCTTATAGCGTTATTATGTACGAAATATTGTGAAACTGTAGAGATTTCCGCAACTTTAACCTCACCGGAAGTACTAGCTTGGGGGCGCCTCCCCTAGARATTTGTGACCCCCAGGCCAAATATTGTACTAATGAAATTTAATCATCCACATGATATATTGCATTTACAATTTGCACGCATAAAATCGACATGTTGAAGAGCTGTTTTTGACTTTGACGAATATAATGACGGGGAATCCCGAGGAATATTCCCCGCAAAGGACTTTAGGGAAAAACACCTTTCAAAGCGCAAATTCAAATCACTTAGTACTCAAAAAGTAATATAGTATACTACAGTATRTAGAAAATTGAAATCATTCGCTAAAAATCAAAATTTTATATTTTCATCACGGTTTTCCTGTGGTGTACTTTGGGTTCCCTGTGTCATAYAACGTGGGACTAGAACCGAAAGATATTTGTAATTTCAAGATGGCGGAAGAAACAGGACATAAAGTTTGCGAGACTCCAGCTTGTAATAAACCCGCCAGTTTACAATGYCCGTCATGTATCAAACTTAATATTCAAGGAAGCTTCTTTTGCTCTCAGGTAAAGGATTTCATATGACATATATTGAGCGAAAAAAATTACATCTGACTTGCACAGATTAACATTTTCGATATTTCTATGAAAGTCATACACGCACTTTTATAACTTACTTAATTGTGGTTGGTCAGGATCTCATCTACTATTGATGCCCATTGAAATATTTGTGCTAATTGTGTTAAATATTTGAATGCTGTAGCAAAAATACCCATTACAGATAGGACTTTTTATACCTCCAGTAGCTACAGTAACTGTAGTTCCAATTTTTTTCTATTTGATTTAAGTTATCTGATCCTATTGCTCAGGCACCGCAGAGGACAACTTTCGAGAAGCAACAAATAAATTGGACAAATGTTTTCAAAATGGCAGCCAAGATATTGGGGTGGCATGCTCTGTAGTGCCTGTTGCTCAATTTGATTTTTCAAAGTTCAATATGAAAACTAAGTTGGTAGCCTCAGGCTCTTCTTTTTAAAGTGNATAAGCAGTTATAACCCTTGGCCTGATTATAGATTTTCAGGGAAACTTCGTCCATGGCCACAGGTTTGTACTCATTAAAAATGGTGCCAATTAGGATCATTTAGATGCAAATGTTGCTTTCATTTAAACAATAATTGTCAAGTACAAGAAATAAGATGCTCCACTGCAAAATATAACTTGTCAGATGAATCTATGGTAACATGATCTTTGGCAAAGCTCAAGTTTAATCCCTTTTATGATAGTTAATATTATAACTATGATGATAGCAAGGCTGATAGTGATCAAGTGTTATGATAGTTATTACATGTATTTGTAGAGTGACATGAGACAGTTACCACCACACATTGAAAGGCCAGACTATGCTGAATCTGGTRAGTGACATTAAACTGAAGATAGCAAAATTAYCACCACAATAGATCTCTCTCCAAAATGGTTTAGGCAGTTTTATKGGACATGAATCTTGTCWCAAGTTCCTCTTCACAAACATTTAATAGATAATAAATGTTGGTTACTTTTTTGTTAAAATGTCCAGGAATTCCAGTCTCTGAGATGAAAGCCAAGCAAAGCACTCAAATCAGAGCATTGTCAAAAGAAGAAATTGAAGGAATGAGATTAGTTTGCAAGGTTTGTCATAGTTCAATTTAAAATGCCTGTGCGCTATATTTTTCTACATTTTTTTCAGACAGAAAGTATTATTTATTGTTTTAAGAAAAAACTTTAAAAAATAATAACTTTAAAAAGTTTTGGTGCAATAGTCCCCTTCACAGCTACCAGCGCCATCTTGAAAGGTAGCCGTACCTTTACGTCAAAGGGAGACAACCGTTAAGTGTGCAGTGATAGATATACCTATGAATAATTGTCTGTAGGTGTGAAAGAAGGTTTCTATCATTGCACGCTCAACGGTCGTCTCGCTTCTATGCAAGGGCACGGCTATCTTTCAAGATGGCGCAGGGAACCGTGAAGAAGACTATTTAGTAATACCAATTTTGGCATCATTACTTGACTCAAACAGCACAGGGACCCCAAACCGACATTATATCAAACTTTTGGTGTTTGGAGAAAAAAAGATTGTCATAGAAAATCATTATGAGACTCTAAAGACAGACTGTATTTTCTGTCCAAAATATAAGTTTGTAACTATTCATACAAATATGCTTGTTTTTATTTATTTATTTTTTGTCAATTTTCAACAGTTAGCAAGAGAGGTCCTTGATGAAGGTGCTAAAGCAGTCAAAGTTGGGGTGACGACAGATGAAATTGACAGAATTGTTCATGAGGTAAACTTATGATACAATACAATATCTTGCCTCTGATGGTATGAAACAGCTCTGTGATGTCATTCAAGCAAATGACATCACATCCTTGGAACAGAGGTGTTTCATACAGTCAGAGGGMAAATAACATTCAGACATTCAAAAAGGTGCATTTTCAACAATCGTTTGGGTTTCAAAACACTCAATAAAAGATAAAACAGTCACTCTGCCGTGTTCCCTTGATTTTATCAAGAAAAAAGGTGCAATAATGACTGATCTTCTACACCATGGTATGAACTGATGTTTTATTCATCGCTATATAATGTTAAATTCAATATGTTTCAGGCATCTATTGAAAGAAACTGTTATCCTTCACCACTAAACTACCATAATTTCCCAAAGTCTTGCTGCACGTGAGTAGGCCAGTTATGGCAATCCATTGTTTAATGCAGTAAGCATTTATTTATTACTTTTTAAGGCCACATGCATCTGGGAACCTTTCCGTAATATTCACCATCCTTGATTTCGATCCAATCAGAAAGCAACTTTCAACAAGAGATCAATTTTAAAACAAAAGAAGTGATCGCAAGATGCTGACCAAAATTAGTTTTAGTGGTTTTACTGTCAAACAAGGCTCCTACATGTACATTAACTGCATCGATAACTGTCCAATCGRTTTTCTAGGTCTGTCAATGAAGTGATATGCCATGGTATTCCTGATGGACGGCCTTTGGAGGATGGAGATATAGTTAACTGTGAGTATGGTTGTGCTATGGAGGCCTTTTTCAGCTTGGGGGTGACGTGGTTTCTTAGCAACAGAATAAATGCACTTATAGGCAATGTGAAGCGACGCCATTTTGTACAGCAAAGCATGATGGGAGTTGTAGTCCTCACAATAGACCTCTGAAGCTTTTACGTCATGTACCGTATACGCAATGCATTGTAGGATATGTTTGGGACAAAACATGTCGGATTTCTTTTGTTTTCTCTAGAAACTTATCCCACAATGCATTGAAAATCAAGCAGTGACGTAAAAGGTTCAGAAGTCAATTGCACCTAAAAAACCTCTAAAGGCCCGTTTACACTTGCGATTTTTGCAGCGCGATTGAGGTTTTTGTGTCTTCTTTGTGGCAACGGCTCAGCTATATTTACAAAGAGAAGGGAAGTCTCAGTCATTGATTGATTTTTTTTTCTTTTAGTGGACATAACTTGCTATCATGGTGGTTTCCATGGTGATTTAAATGAAACGTTATTTGTTGGTAATGTCAGCAATGAAGCCAAGCAGTTGGTTAATGTCACACACGAGTGTTTGATGCAAGCCATTGATTTAGGTATAGTTGACGAATTTAAACGTTATGTTGATCATGGAGGACAGAGAATATTCAGATTTTGAGTGAATCTTAAGTGCACTGACAAATTGTGGTTGTATAATGGTTCATAATTACGCGAGTAATCAGGCTACTAACGAGGTATATATAATATATTTTTTTTTGCTGTTGATCTGGATCGAAAGGCTAGAAACGTGATCCCGATTCCCATACTCCGTACATTTTGATCCCTGATCCCCTTACAGAATCGTTGAAAACTAAAAACCAAAAAAACATTGATCCCGATTCCACTTGAAAAACCTTTGATCCCCGGTTAAATCCATTTGGTCTGAATCCTGAGCCTAAACCCTGATCCCAAAATAGTCCAAAAACTGACGCTGATCCCTGGTCCCAATACCTTGTCACTAGCCTGGAGTAATACAAATGCAAACACAAATGCGTTGGTTCACTCGTTGAAAATGCCAACGCAAGTGTAAGGGAAAAAAATTGCCACCCAATTCACCGATCCCTTCTTCACATAGATTAATCATCAAACAATGAGCAGTTTTCCTAGTGGAATTAAAACTGACCCAGCAACAATCACAAAATCGAATATTTTTACTAAATTCATGAGGTTTTTCCTGATGAAAATGTTAAAAACATATAACACAAGGAAAGTTCGTACACATCGCAGCAATCGGATCTTTTCCATGCTCTATACCAAAGGAATATTTTCGCTTGTTCGACGTAGCAACAGTAAGTTCTAGGGAGGTAGGGCAATGAATCGGGATCGGTCTTTTACTCCAAGGTTACTCGCACCGGCTGTTGTTGTGAACTAATGAAAATACAAATAAGGCCTAGTATTATATTGTAATTGTGTATTCCTAGGGGGTGGTCACAATACTATAATTTCATAAGTTGGCGCTCGTACTTTTTTGACGCACACTGCCCGACTCTAGTTTGAGCAGAGTTAGTAGAGTAGAGGGGACTAGTGACTAGTCCTCTACTAACTCTGGCTTGAGCGACAATACGAAAATTCGAGGACCGTAAAGTACGACTTATGGAACTCCTCAGTCTATTAATTAGGGCCGAGCACTGCATTATTTTCTTGGGGCTTGCATTTATGATCAAATGATTAATGACCCCTCACTTGTAATTTCTTTTTTTGTGTGCCTTGTAGTAAAACCTGGAGTAAGGTACAGGGAAGTAGGCAATGTTATCCAAAAGCATGCGCAGTCTCATGGGTATTCTGTGGTTAGAAGTTACTGTGGTCATGGCATTAATCAGTGAGTAAAAACTCTCCACCCCCTCCCCCTGAGGTCGTGATACTCAGACCTTGCCTCAGACTTTGCCTGGTTTTTATTAGTGTGTCAGGGCAAACAGGAATTTGATATTCCTTTTGTGGGATTCAGTCCTTGCCTTGATGTTTGAGTATAGTTCAGTAGAGTGTAATGTCAACATTTAATTTCAGTGTTTTTTTTTCTTCTTCTCGAGACTGTTTATTTACAAATAAAGACGCAAAGACGACCTTTATCATAAAAAGTCTTTTATAACTAGTTGTGCGCCTGCAGACGTTGTCCCTGAAGTCTGATATAAACATGGTGGACTGCGAATCAGAGCGCTGGGTAGATATAAATTTWAAAAAAATAACTCTCTGAAAACAGTTAGCGGTTTGCTTTGAAACATTAATAAGCCTTTGATACGAAAACAAGCCCACGTTATTTTCAGAAGTCGGTTGCGACAGGTTGATAATATGCTTTTCAAATGATCACGTCACGAAAGACTAAATATGGAATACTCCRATTTCGAGTTCTGTTTTGCTCTGTGTTAGCCTCAAAACCAAGTAACATATTCTTTTGTTTCACTGACAGCTCGAAAAACCGCATGGAATTTGTGAAGAAAGACAATGAATTYGATTTGAAATCTCACACTTTTACGCTCACAATAAGGAATATTTTGCGCACAAATGAGGCTAACACAGAGCATTGGAGAATTCGAAACTGGAGTATTCTCCATTATTCTTTAGTCATGGAAACCATGTTCATTGCTTATTAAAATATCTCTTAATGTGAAATATTTCTTTGAATTCTTCCCGTAGGTTGTTTCACACTGCTCCCAGTGTTCCTCATTATGCAAGTAAGTTTTAATTAACTGTCTCCTTACTCAGTTACAACTCCGAAACATCGGCATAAAAGAAGCTTAAAAACACATTTAGACTCCAGAGGGACTCTTTGCATAATGTCAAATTGTTTGCCACCAAACTTCAAATTTTCCCGCCTTTTTCGGTCCTTCCGGTTGACGCGGCCGTCCCATTTTTGGTCGGAAAGTCGTAGACTATTTACTTGAAGGTAATATCTATTAATAATGTGGTCCAATGCCCCTKAAGCGGATGAAATTATCTGATAGAAAAGCCCCCCAGTTCACGTATGCAGGTGTATATAATGACACACCCACCAACCACACATTTCTTTGTGAAATAAGAAGTTCCAAAACATTCACATCTCGATGGATTTTCATGGGAACTTTCAAATGTTGTACAGAGCTTCTAAATACTCAATATACTTTTTCAAGAGTCATTTTGTTTCAGGTCGAAGAACTGAACAATCATTCTAATGAGCAATGACCATTTTTTAATAACAGCTCCATACACCATCTTTAATGTCACTTTTCTAATTTTTCCTCAGAAAATAAAGGAGTTGGTGTAATGAAACCTGGTCATACTTTTACCATTGAACCAATGATCTCACAAGGTAATTACCTATAATATATCTCTGGTGCTAACAGTGCCAAATACATGTAGCCTTAAAACTGCCAGGAAATTATGGTTCAGGATTTCTCGTTGGTATAACAGGCGGTATTTTTTTGTCTTTCTTGCTTGTACACGGAAGGAGGTGGGGCTACGAGGAAGGTGCTAGAACTTTGATGCAGACGTGCCTGCGAGACAAGACTCACACAAACTCGTTCCCAGGTGAAGCCCTGGGTGAAGCCCTGGAACAAGGTTGAAGAATCACAAAGATTGAAAGATAGCTAATGAGAATTTCTTACTTGTTTTCAAAACGCCACAAACAGCCCAAACTTATAAATTTGACTACGATTTTTTATTGGGTTAACTAAATGATTGGGCTGCCTGTGATGTTATCTTACTCCATGTTTTTTTTATAGGGACGTGGAGAGACAACACATGGCCAGACCGCTGGACGGCTGTCACTCAAGATGGCAAGCTATCAGCACAATTTGAACACACTCTACTAGTAACAGAAACTGGCTGCGATATCCTGACGATACGACAAGCCGAAAATGGGGCACCTTTTTATAAATTACAAATGTAAAAATAGACGATTTATACTAGTATGGGCGTTCTCGCACGATAGACGACGCCCTTTTGTAGCGAATCGCGATTCAGAACGGAGTMGGCAGAGAAGCAAGGCAAAAATTGGTCTTTCTGTGGTAATGACGTCACGATGACGTCATGATGATTTATAGTACAGCGGGACTCAACGTCATCCAAGATACGTCATTACAATATAAAGATCACCAATTTCTGTCGTGTTCCCTTGCAAGATGACTCAAGTACATATGAGGCAACCTCAAGACTAGTACCCTGTCGCTTCACTCGATGGTTTAGCTGGGCCGCGTGATGCATAAGGGAAGTGTAAAGGACCGTTTCTCTCACTCTCCATAAACCCTTCAAGCACTGCAAAAGAAATAGTAAGGCTAGTCACGTGTGGAGGGCCCCTTCTCTCAAGTCGACTCTTGGTCTCGACTCGACCAAGGCTGAATAGGGTCTGCATAATTAGCCTCAAAACTGGAATAGAATAAGTGTTTGTTGACAAATTTTGGAAAAAGTATATATACAGATAACATTTGAAAATCAAGCATAAATATTGGAAATATAATAGTAAACGTTGCTTCTTTGGACTGCAAAATATGTTTACTCAGTATCAGTCGTTCTAAAACCCAATATATCATGTTTGCGGTGTTGTAGTGATAAGTGCCTCGAATTTTTAACGACAAACCTTCATTTTGATATTTTTAAAGTATTCAGCGAAAAACCTGACATTTAGCGCGACCTATAATATGGCTAAAAACTGTTATAATTGGCCGATAACAAAACGAAAAGGGGACTGGGTCCGAACTTCAACATCTAATTAAATAATGGTTCCAGAAAGAATAACCCCATCATGTGAGATAAAAAGGCTTAGTGACTAAGTTTCATGATGTTTGAACTTATAGCAATAAAGTTACGGACATCCAAACCATGCCAAGATTGTATCACTTTAAAAAAAGGCGCTCAAAGAGCGCATGTGGTTACTCCAAATTTGCTGTTTATGTATCAGAGAGTGTGTTGATATTTGCAAGGCAAATATCTGAAAATCTGAAAATGTTTTGTAGCAGACATCGATCTGAGCTTGTATGTTGAACTGTTTTCAAAGTGCGTGCGGCGGTCAGGTCTTGGCGTTGGCTTCGGCGTTTGGATACTTTTTTTAGGCATATTATGGTTAGTTAATGCACCAAATTTCGGTTTTCTTCTAGTAGTTCTTTCGGTCCAAACTGCAATAAACAAATATTAAAGACCGAAGATTAAAAGATAAGATCGTGAATTAAAGTCAAAAACTTTCCTAAACTTTGCGAATAACTTTCGAAAGTAAAGAATCCGGCGCAAACAATCCACAGATACAACTTAAATATACTCACAATTGTCAACATCTTCTGGGTCGAAGTGTGCTTATCGCAAGTGAAGACGACTCGATCGTTCTTTATTTGATCGCTAAAATCGGCGTCGATCATTCTTGATTTTTTTCAGTTCCCCGAGTCAAGCTTCGCGGCATTCACGATACCTTTCGTCCACAGCTAAAGACAACTTGTAAATACCGATTCCTTACGTCTCCACCATTTGTCTGGGATACATGATAGGGTAGCCTTTTTGTCTGGGATAGGGTAGTAGTTTTGTCTAAAATAGGGTATAGTCTCGTTGTGTGGGGTAGTCCATCACCTGAGACCCGAAAATTCGTTGCTAATACTCATCTCAGGAGAACAGATAAGACCGATTCTAAATGAAAGYTTAACTATTTAGCTTTCAAAAAATGTCTTGGCGGACATYTWKAACGGTAGCTTTCCTATAGAAATTTGACTTTTAAGAGAGGTGATTGAAATCACTGATAGCCGCCATTTTGTCTCCAAGAGGAAACCCCGCATAATCGAAACAATATCATTTCGCAAATTGAAACACCGTCAAAAGCAATAAAATATCTGTTTGAACTTTAAGAAGGGTTGATTTATATAGATATATTCAAATTTAACTAATAGAGACAATATATTTGCCAGTTTTTTGTCGCCGAATGCATGTCGAAAATTGAGTCGGACTTTTGTATCATGCTATCGATTCTAAAAAATCCTTGGTGAACGGCCCGCCGGTCATTTTAAATCCATACCAATGGAATATAAATAGAACTAGATTAGAGTGTAATAATATTTTCTTCAATTACTCTTATGCCAAATAATTGAATACATTTTCCCATACTAGCACGTAACACAACCAAACGTGCCCGTCTGAACATTGAAACTTACAATAGAATATATTTCTCTGTCTGACTTTTACGCGATTGAGCTCGATTGCAAACGACGGTACTTCGTACACGAGCGAGTTAAGTTTATTAGATATTTAAAGGAAAATCCAATGGATACTTGTGTTATTTGCAATGAAGAGGGAGATGGTCTCGTGCATTGTAAAGACGTAGAGTCGTGGACGAGACTGCATCGTGCGGCAGTCATTAGACAACATCAAACAATTTTAGCATTGTCAACAGGTGAGAGCGAATTTCCAGAATCACCAGTAAAATATCACGTCTCTTGTAGAAAAGCATTTGTAAACCAGAAAACCTTACAATCCATGACAAGGGAAACTGTACAAAGTAGCGAATCAAGCGACCAACGTAGAAGTAGCAATCGCAATAAGCAAGCATCAAGTAGTAGCAAGTCGGCAGTACTTCCAGACGTTTGCCTATTTTGTAAGAAAGACAAGTACAAATCAGGGACAAAAACGCGAGAAAAATTACGCGGAGTACAAGAATTTAGAGCGGATAATACAATAAGAGAAAGCGCATTACAGCACATAAAAAGACATACTAACATGAGTTCCGTTGCTGCTGAGATTTATAGTATATGTTCAAAGGACTTGATAAGCAGTGAAGCGCGATATCATTCGTCGTGTTACAATTCATTTGTACGCGTAATATACGAGCCTGATGCCACTTCCGAAAGCTCAGCTAACACTACTGAAAACAAAAACGGGATAGATAAAGCATACAATGCAGTGTATTCTTTCTGTGAAAATTTTATTGCCAACCCAAGAGTGATTGAGTTTAAAGAAATAAGAAAAGTACTTGCAGACGAGGCAGAGAGGATAGGGGTAACAGTGACGGAGTCCCACTATAAAAACCTGTTGCGTATGGTATCAAATAAATTTCAAGAGCTGGAATTTATCAATTATCAACAGAATAAGGTACTTGTGTATCCAATAACGTTAGAGACAGCAAACTTAGCAGTTGAAAACTATGCACTTAAAACTGAATTAAATGCACTACTTAATCAAACGTCTTTGGATGATGATACTAAAGCCATGATTAATGCAGCGAAAATTCTCAATAAAAAGATAAAAGCTCATCCCATTCAAATGCCATGGCCCCCTGAAGAAAAAGATCTTAATGCCAATAAGGTGTCGGATTATATCCCTGAGCTACTGGATACCTTTTGTACCATCCTCATGTCTGGCCAATCCATGGACGCTGACAAAAGTAAGTCTGAACGCACTGTTCGCCTTAAGAATTCATTAGCACAAGATATTGTCTACTCGGTCTCCAACGGAGCAATCAAAACGCCAAAAAGTGTCCTTTTACCAGCGGTGATAAAGGCTCTGTGTAACAACACAGAAGTAGTTAAGCTTGTCAATAAGTGTGGTCATGGCATAGGGTACAATCTCATTGAAGAAATTGATACGGAATTTGCACTTAGAGTAATCAATGAACAAACTTTAAGCCGTGTGCTTATACCAAAGGAATGTATTCAACCAGACAATCCACCAGTTGCACTCATGATAGCAGACAACATTGATAACTTAGAATGCACGGTCAGCGGAGCGGGTACGTCTCACCGAGTGAATTCTATTCTTACTCTAAAAAGAAAGCCTCCAGACAATCCAAACGTTGACACTGAGGAATCTGAACAACCTCAGCCTAAACGGAAATGTAAGCGTTCTTTAGAAGCAGATGTAGTCATAAAGGAGATTCCCGACTACTATGGCGGTGCGCGTGTTGGCCCTGGGGTCCTTTCGCATGTACAATATCTCGGTATTAGATCGTCTTACAGAGAGAAGGTAAAGAGACTTCACATGAAATACCTCGTTTGGATAGAGGTAAGAAAGCTACGAACACATCCGCTGCTTCTTGTTCCCGGCTGGACGGGTTTCTTTATCAAGACCAGAGACAACATTGTCATCATTCAGAGCACAATTGGATACCTTGACACATTAGATTCCCCTGCTACCGACCTTAAAACCGCTTACGAAGTCCTTCGCCGAGGATGTGAAATCAAAGAAAGACTCAACTTGAAGGGCGTGGCTTGTGTATTTGATCAGGCATTCTACGCAAAAGGAATGGAGATATTCTGGAAGAACAAAGCACAGTTTGAAGGCTTAGTAATGATGATGGGCGGATTTCATTTACTAATGACGATAATGGCCATAATAGGAGCCCGCTTTGGCGACGCTGGTCTCAAAGATGTTGCTGTGCAAAGTGAAGTTGTAGCCGAGGGCTCGATAGATAGTGTTCTAAATGGCAAACATTATAACCGTGCTATACGCCTTCACAAGATTATGTACGAGGCCACAAGTCAACTACTCATACAAGAATTTGAGCATACGTTATCCGAGAATGACATGGAAATTGTACGTGAGCGTAAGCTGCAGCTGGAACAACTCAAGCTTAACCTTTGTTATGATGAGCTGGAAAAAGTCCTCAACATCCCGCAAGTACAGCAATGGGAAAATCTATTCCAGAAATATGTAGACGACCTAAAGCAAAATGGCAGTGATATGGCAAAATTCTGGCTGTCATACTTAGAACTTTGCGAGCTGCTTCTAGATCTCATCTTTGCTACAAGAACAGGCAACTGGGAAATGTATCTCGCTTGCATTGAGGCTGTTATTCCCTGGACTTTTGCCTATGACAGGCAAAACTACTCGAGATATCTACTGCCATTCTTGAATGACATGCGCTCTTTGCCAACAGCCATGCCCGAGGTGTATGATGCCTTTGTCGCCGGCCACTTCAGTGTGCAGATGTCCAAAAACAACCCTTTTGGCCAGAATGAAGCCGATAAAACAATTGAGAATACCATTAATCGAGACTGCAAGACTGCAGGGGGGTACATTGGCTTCAGTACGAATTTTGCCGCAACACAAAGATGGGTTCTAAACAACTCTAGGCGCAGTTCATACATGCGCATTCTTCGTGAACATTTATCGCTCGAGTCTAGTGAAAACAAGCCACACAAAGAACTTGCGCCAACGCGAATAAGATCAGATATGGAAGCAGTTAGAAGCGTGGTAAACGTACTCGAGAATGTCTTATGTAGTCCATGGAGTAGAGAGGCTCAAAGTCTAACTAGTCTCTCTACAGGGCTAGCAGCTACTGACGACGTCAGAGATGACCTTTTAAAGGCCAATGCTAAGGGGAAGGCTGCCTGCAAAGAGTTTATCAAAGAGAGATGTTCATCCACTTCCACTCTTGGATTCTTCGATCCACTCAAGAAGCTTAAGCTTAAGTCCTTCAAAGACCTAAAGGCTGTGGCCAAGATCCGCATAAAAGATGCTGTGCTACCTATCCGCCTAGATCGGGACGTCTTTGCAAGGATGGCGCTGATAAGCCAGTTTAGAAAGATCGACATGCGATTGGTATTTTCGTATCCCCTTGGTCCATTGCCCTGGGCGCTAGCAGATCCATATGGAATGCCACGGAAGACAAACAAAGCGAAACTAGCGCAGCAATTGGAGAAGCAAGTTGAACTCACCGATAGCTACCCACGTGATGCTACGAGTATCTATGATGGCATGGCTGAGTTACAGAGTTTTAAGCCACCGTCAGGAGCTACGTTTGCTGTTGTAGCTGATAAGCTCTTCACAGTTTTAACGAGCACGCCAAGCAAGAGAATTGACGTTGTTTTTGACGTGTACAAGGACGTATCCATAAAGAATGTAGAAAGAGCGAAACGTAAAACTGGATCGGATGGGATCGTTTACCAGAATATTTTGCCCGGTTTCCAAGTAAAGGACTGGAGCAAAATCCTGAGCGTCTCCGCTAACAAGGCGGAAATTGTTCGTTTTCTAGTGGGACAGTGGAAAGAGATGCACTTCCGGAACAGGCTACATGGCAAAACTCTTTTTGTTACTGAAGGAGAAGATTGCTGGAAAATAACATCGACAACGGCAAGTCTCGTACCAGAACTGAAGAGTAATCACGAAGAGGCCGACACACGTATGGTATTACATGCCCATCACGCAGGAGGCAAGTGCGTCATCCACGCAGACGACACAGATGTCCTCGTACTTCTTGTTGGTCATGCCCACGACCTTGGTAGCTGTTTTTTGAAAAAAGGGAAGGCGGCAAAACGGAGAATCGTTGGAGTCTCAGAAATGGTCAATCGACTAGGAAGACAAGCAGCAGATGATATTACAACCCGAGAAGCTTGCGAAGCTCTCGTTGGAATACATGCACTTACTGGATGCGACACAGTATCGGCCTTCGCTTCAAAAGGCAAATGGCGTCCAGTACAGCTGGCGCTCAAGCACAAGGCCTATGTCAACGCAATGAAAGACATCGGAAAGGAATGGAGCTTAAGTGAGACGACATTCAAAGCAACTGAAGAGTTTGTCTGTCACTTATACGGCAAAAAGGCCAAAAGTGTAGATTCGTTACGATATGAGCTACATTGCGCAAAAGGTGGTAAGATTGAGCCAGAGGCACTACCCCCATGCCAATCATCGCTAAGGCTCCATGTTTCCCGTGCAAACTACCAGGCAGCTGTGTGGAAAAGAGCTACAGAAGCGTGTCCCGACACACCCTCACCTCATGGGCATGGTTGGAATGTAAACACATCCACCATAGAATTTGTATGGTTGGGATCTCGGCCCGCACCTGAAGAAGTACTAGAGCTTTTATCCTGCACCTGTAAACGAAAGTGTACAGACGATTCATGCTGCTGCATTAAAGCTGGATTAAAATGCACCGAGATGTGTTCCCTTAAGTGCAACAACATGGCTGACGAAGAAGATGAAAGAGAGATGACAGAGAGCAATGAAAGTGAAGACGAGGATGTTGATGACGTCGAATAGAAAAGTTCTACAAGGTAAACCTTGTTAGACATCTAGTTAGTTAAATATATCGGGCTAGCATTTAGTAAGCTAGCTATATAGAGAGTGGTTTCAATTAATCCGTGAAATAGTTAGTAGACTAATACGCACTATGTAACCCCATTTCTATTGTTTTCTTTTGACTATATCAAACTATTACGCACTGAATATAAGATTTTGTTTCACGGATTAATTGAAACCACTCTATCACGTTGAAAGTGACTGAGTATAACAAGTAAAGTTAGATGAACTCGATTTTCCTTTATATATATACGTACATAACAGTGACAGTTTTTCGAGGGAAACAAATATTTTTTAG